AGGAATGCAGTGCTCTATTAGACCGACCAAACAAGCTAAGAAAATCAGCATAGCAAGCCTTCCTCCCAGCACCTGCACTGCCCCCCAGAAGTACACAGCAAGATTCTCCAGCGGGACAAGACTTTGAAGGACATTGTCTTAGAAGTAATGTTAGTGTTTCCTGCAAATAACGACCACGGTTCTATGGGGACAGGGCATTAACAGCTAAATGGATTTTTCTTCAGATGACAATAAGAGTGGGTTACTTGGTTCCAAGGAGACACTCACCAGGGAGTTACCTTGTTTCAGAGCAGCAGGCTTCCTTCTCTCACATGCGTGGAATAAACAGTATTTTCTTTGCAAACTATCTATTGCCTGAAGCTATCTCTGTTCAGGCTGTGATCTCATCTGATTGCAAAAGCTAAGTGGGGTTAGGCCTGGTCAGAACTTAGCTGGGACACCTCAAGGGAAAAAAGAGGGTCTGTAAGAAGCGGTGTTGGCAGTTTCATAGGTGATGCTGCTTCCTCTGAAGTCAAAACAGAGGTAATGTTCCAGGAGAGAGGTTAAGCTAGCAAGGGATGGCTGGAGGCTGCTGGGTGAAACGTAAAGCAAGTATCCTGACAACTTGTGGCATCTGTTGTGAGGAATATGGTAATCTTCCTGTCCTAGGCAAATAAATCCTATGAGCCTAAGCTTCTCTGATAGCCATCAGTGAAAACCACACCCCATTGCAAGACGGTCCACCCCAGAGAAGCTGCATTTTGGTAGAGGAAAGATCAACTACTGCAGTTACCTGTAAAGATACTAGTGAGGTGGAAGTGACCATTCATAAGTACATATTTTATTGTGTTTAGAATTCTTAATCTATTTAGAGAACAAAGATTTTTATTACAAAACACCCAAAACTTCTCCCGAGACAGTTTTCCTACAAAGCCAGGTCCTATTTATTTTCATGTCTAAAAAATTCTCGAATACAAACAAGTGAATAGAAAATCAAAGTGCTAAACTATTTACAGGGGATGCATGTACGAGACGTCTGGTGTGCCAGTGCTCTAGGACAAACTGAGGTGGTCCTCTCTCTCAGACTGGCCCAGGTCCCACTCAGTCACTAGTTCTGAGGACACCTCTGTGAAGAGATGGTCCCAATCCCAGCTGACATCTTCCTACCAAGAGGAAAAAGACAAACATGCCATAATGTTACTGGTGACACCCAAAAGTCTCTGAACGATGCCAAATATTCAAGATGAACAGCAGAGAGAGAAACTAAACAGCAACTGCCCCTGCCAGGGAAGCCCCAGGTTCAGTTTGCTAGAACAGGAATCCTAGCCAGAATGAAATGTGAATCTCTGTCACAATTTAAAGATTTTGACAGATTTATGCATGTTCCAAAATTCCATAAAGGACAGATTTTTTGATACTTGTTAATCTTGGATACTCCCAGGCAGGGTGTAAAGAGGACCCATAAAAATCTTCCACCTTTCTGCACTTCTGCTGAAGTATCTGCAATTCTGAGCTGCGCAAATCCTTTGTTGCAAGTCCTGAGCTCCTGCCCCTGCAGTTGTATTGATATTGTTCTGTCCTGCTTTAACACATCCCTCTGCCCAAAACCCAAACGCTTTCTGCCTTTGTCCCTCTGTACCACCCTGCAGAACTACCTGGAGCTCATGGTGGCTACAAAAAGACAATACATAGAGCACTGTTTCTGCAGGAACCTGTGACAGTGCTACACCTTTATCATCTTCCTTACTAGCTCTTTCATACTGAAGGGGGCCAATCATAGTGATGCCATAATTTCACACAGAGAAAGCCCTCTATATATATCTTTAAAATGATCTGCTGGGGAAATCAGACCTCCACCCTCTTGGACAAGCTCCTCTACACGGGCTCTTCCTCATCTCTCTCCTCCACCCCATCAACAAAGGCTTACTTTGCAAGTATAGTCTGAGCCATACAAGCAGCTTTTGCCTTGGTGTTCCCACAGAAGACTCACCTCTCGTAGTTCATGCTCTGGAGCCAAAACTTTGGTGAGAAGCTTCAGGTCAACCTCTCCATCCTATGAACACACACAGTCACAGTCTTACAGACAGCGAGAAAGAGCAAACCATCATTTCTCCACGTAGGTCTTGCCAGAGATAGGCAAAGTATTTGCCTCATAAGAGACACATACTTTGTCCAGGACAACAGCCGGAGCCTCTGAGCAGCAGATACCATACCCATGCTATTTACAGACACAAACAAGCATGAAAGCCACACTGCAAGAGAGGAACAGACTTGAAAGCAAACTGGAAGTTGTTTGGATGACAGGGCTGTATATTTTACGCAGCTGGGTAACACTATGGAGAACGATGGGAGGCCGGGAGGCGAGGGAGTCACATCGGTCACCCCATAGCAACATCCACTTACCAGAGTCTGAAAGGCAGCATATTTCATAAGATCTTTGTCCAGGTCATGGTAGGTCAGCACTCTGTTCACCTGCACACTGCATCCAGAAAGCGTCAAAGAAAAAGCCTGGGTAAGCGTGGAAGCACATCTGAGACGGGTGGCGTGAACAGGAATCTGATTAAATTCGTCTCGAGTATCCACATCACCCATGTGGACTCTCAAGATGGGTGTCCCCAGATAGAAGCAAATCTCAATTCAGCAAACGAACAGTCACTGATAAATCTGCATGCCAGGTTGTGCACATGCAGAAAAACAGGATGTGGAGTGACCACAGACTCCCTCAGAGAAGCCAGCACGACAGACTAGCTGCAAGGGCCAGAAAGAAAACAGGAACATAGTGAACATTGGAACAGCCCCAGCGGGCTCCAAGAGCCCCACCACACAAGCTACAGACTAGTGTGGACCTTGTGATTTCCATGTTTGAGCTGAGTCACAGCTATCAAATACAATTTCTTAAAATGTAGCCTCCAAAGAGAAGCACGGAGTAGGGGGGTAATACACTGTTGTGCTATGCTTCCCTTTGTAGGTGACAAAATACTATAGAAAAGACCTGTATTAATTTAATTTCTGTTTGTGTTTGCTCATGAAAATCACTTGTCTTTTCTACTGCGGGGAGACTGTGGATACAGGAGAAACCGATGGGATTATAAAAAAAAGAGAGAAAACAAAGACATATGCTTTGGTGAGAGACAAAGCAATTTTAAATTTTTCACCATAAAGTGTCATTCTTTTTTGTTAACAGCTATTTAATTACAATACCTACTCCATACTTGTGAGAGAGGCATCTGTGGTCAGGAGTAAGGTATCCCCTCCTGTGATATTGACAATAGGCCCAACAGGGGAGAAGAGACTTTCCTGATACTTTTAGGAAAAAAATCCCCAAAGTGTCATTGTTTTTTGAACTTACTGGTCTCCCTTGAACTAACCCCAAGACTATTCTGATAACACCTTCAAACAACAGGATTGTACTTTTGCACTTGAGTAAGAAGGATGTCCTGGGGAGGGCAAAGCAGCCTGCGACCGTACATAATCAAAAGTGTGTGCGATAATACATACGTACTGGAGGCATTTGAGGTTACACAGACAACCGCAAATCAAGCAATTCCTAACTTGAGAGAGTTTGATTTTGCAACATCAAATATGCTACTCTAATGTAGTTTTTGTACATAAAGAGAGAACATGCAGTAATTCTTTCTCTGTTTAACAGGAAACAAGAAGTTTGCACCGTTCAGCCTGGAGCCCCACTGCCACAATACACAGCATCGAATCCTGTGGAATGGCACTGCCACCGACGTCCAGAGAGCATGAGATAAGAAAGAGTTTAATTTCACCAGCCATTTCGCACTGCTGATGAGAGCCACAGGAACACCTGGCAGTGCTCTTACCTGGGGGGAGCTGCCACTTGCATGGCCAGATCTTCCTCCTGGACCTCCTCCAAATCAGGGATCACGGGAATGTCTGCAACAAGAGAAAGCAGCAGCAGTAAGTGGGGAGTGTGATGCTCTCCTCTCACTAGAGACAAAGATTCCTTTGCTTCAGAGATATGAAGCAGCCTGTTTCTTATTAGAGGAAAACACAAGAGAGTTATTTAGCAATGATTAAACATATATTGTTTAATATTAAAACAAGGCAATAAAGCTTTGAAGCTTGGGGTCAAAAGAAATCTTGCAAGAGGAGCAATTTGGGCTGGGTAGGACTCCATAGCCACAGACCATGCATTTGAACACAACCTTGAAGCTGAAAGAAGCTGGCTGCACTAAACCCTGCTGCCTACTTGCCATCATCCAAAGGCCAGCAAGAATTTGCTTCTTATGAGATGTGTTATCATTTGCTCAGCTCAGCCACCAGTCACCTAGACTCCACTAGAAGTGAAACGTGGGGCAGAAACTGAGAGAAGCCACGAAAAACTGCATGCTGAAGGAGCTGCTGGCTGGGTCTCAGACCAGGCAGAGGCCTGTGGCCTTCCCCACAGCTGAGGAAGGAAGTGCTGGTGGTCTAGCAGATACAAAGACTGGGGAAGATGCACCTAGGTATAATGTCATAAACCTTTTCTGATCTCCAGTGTGACCCCGGAATGGCTAATGTCTGGGTCACTGGGTATCCCCTGAACAAGGACTATGGCTACTCCACCTAAAAAGGATGCTAGAGACAAAAGAATGGAGGAGAGGAGAAGAACTGGGTACACACAGAGTCCTGCTAAAGGAGCAAGGCTCCGAGAACACTGCATGCTTTTTGATTTGACAAAGTTCTGTAAACAGTTGGAGACTGAGAGCACAAAAATGGAGAGAGGAAGAGGTAACTGGAGGTGCAAAGCAAGGACAGAGTACACCAACACAGAGCTCATTTAAAGATTCAAGGCCACAAAGGCTCTCCAGAGACCCTGAGCCCTCAGACCGTGGAGAAGCTGGTGGTTTGGCTCCAGGGAGAGGTTTCAGTCGCAGCATGCAGACGCTGGAGCGAGCGGGCTGCTCCCGGCTGTCGGCAGCATGCAAAGCAAGGACAGAGTACACCAACACAGAGCTCATTTAAAGATTCAAGGCCACAAAGGCTCTCCAGAGACCCTGAGCCCTCAGACCGTGGAGAAGCTGGTGGTTTGGCTCCAGGGAGAGGTTTCAGTCGCAGCATGCAGACGCTGGAGCGAGCGGGCTGCGCCCGGCTGTCGGCAGCACAGCAGTGCTACTGCTGGACGGCAGCAGGCGGCTGGGCCTGGATTTGCCCTGTTCCGCAGCCCAGACCGAGATGGATATTCAGGAGCTGGAAAGATGTTCCCAGCTGTGGTGCTCAGGGCTCCAGGCAGGGTCAGAAGAGCCCGTTGTCAGGCTGCCCATCAAAGCTTCACAGGCCCTGGGTGGAGCTCAGAGCTGGCCACACAGCGGGATATCTCACTAACTGGCTCCTGGCAGAAGGCTGAGCGGGACAGGGGCTGCCAGGAGAGCCTGCCCACAGCGACAGCAGCGCCAGCTCCCCCAGCCTCGGCAGGGCTGTGCCTTCCAGCTCCCCACGGAGCAGGTGCCTGCAGAGCAGCCCTTCGACAGCAGCAAACTTCCCAAAGACATTTAAAGGGAAACTGCAGCAACAGGCCCCCAGGCTGTCCCTTCGATGGAAGAGGCACATGCATGAAATGCGTCCCCAGTGCCATCGCTGGGCACGTGGGGCAGATCTGTCCCCCCTCTGCTTGCAGGGACAATACACAGAAGAAGCTGCTATCTCACGGGCTCTTCCCTGCAGGGACTCCCAGCTCTCGGTAAAACTTGTAGCAAAACGCAATTCTGGGACAAGAGCATCTCCATGGACAGACAAACTGACCTGTGGAGGCAGCTGGTAAAAACTGCTCAGTGGTAATGTGGGATAAGGCCCCTGTATACAAGCAACAAATACGAAGGAGGGAACAGACTGCTGAGATCGGTCCAAGGGGAGGAACGAAGCGCTGTGCAGAGGGTGCGCTGTTAGGTCCAGGCAAATGAGCACGG